AACTTTAGTATTGACAAATTTAAAATTTACATTTTAAAATGTATTTAGAATTGTGGAATTTTTATATAATTATTTATACGTAGGATCAGAAACAATTGTAATTAGAACTGTAGATCAAAACTTGGAATTTAATAGATCCGGTTCATATAATTTTTCACGTTTCAGTGTTCGAGTGATGAAAAATAAACGGAGTGTCACAAAACTTAATTGCTAGAACATTATCAAATTCCCTAATATTTTCTTAAAAAGCAGTTGGTAGAATATTTGCATTTAGAATATATAAAGTTTCAAAACCAAATTAATATACTTTATTTATTTGTCTAATAATATAAGAAAATTATATTTTTATAAAAAAATAAGTTAAATTTTAAATTATAATTATGTTTAAAATAAAATTATTCATTCATATGATATAATAAGATATATATATATATATATATTAACATAAACACCTATTAAAATAAAATTATTTATTCATATGATTTGATAATCATTGTAATTTATTATAGAAAAAAATAGACCTTGATCACAAAAGTTTATGTGAGATTTTTAACAGTTTTAGTAATTTATAATCGTTTTGAAAATTTCAAAATACAACATATATAAAAAAATCAAAACTTTATTATATGATTAGTGTAGTTGTGTAATTTATTTTAATAATAAAAAATTAAAAAAATGATATAAAATATACAGATTGTTAACAAATATTTATTATTTAAAATCATTAATAGTCATATATATATTAATCACATTAGATAATTCCGTAGGTTTTATTTAAGGAAATAATATATAAAAGATTTAATTTGATTTTTTTTTTTTTTTTTTTTGACATCCAACGGCTGATCTATTACTCAAACAACTTGAGGTGGTCTGGGAATCCAGACCGGAATAGAACAACCAACGAACACAAGCTTACGGTAAAAAGACCTAGCTGTTTTAGCTAGAGAGTCAGAAACGCCGTTCTGTACTCTAGGAACAAAAAAAAATTTAAATTCAGGAAAGCAGGTCTTCAGCGTCTCAGTTGTTCCAGTTCTGTCGAAACGTTAGGCCATGCATGAGGACTTCTGATCATCTCGATCATCTCCTTACAATCAGTTCCAAAGCTCTGACATGGCGAATGTTGAAGCATATTCTCCATTGCCCACCGCAGTGCTTCCAACTCTGAATGCAACGCCGATTCCACTCGATCAAAATTACGTAGCCCCAATAGCTTACTATTTCCGAAATTATCATTCAGGACCCATCCACAACCACTGAAAGTATTTGTAGAAGTCCAAGAACCATCCACCATGCATATATTACCCAGGCTTAAGGCCTGGTCTTCTTCTCCTCCGGTCCCAATGGAGACCGGAATTTCCTGCTCATTTGCTTTGAACCATGCCTGGCATTCACTTTCTGCATAACGCGCTAACTCCAAAGGGTCTCTATCAATACCTCTGAATAGCTTGTCATTCCTAACCTTCCAAATGTACCAGATAAGCCAAGGATAAGGATCCCTGTCCAATTCTGGTTCCGTTATAGCATTCTTCCTCCGGAAGAGATAATCCATATTCGCATACGTGCTTTGTACTGGAAACAGAGCAAGATTGGATGGCGTAGATGATAGTGCCTAAACTTGTAATGCAGGTGGGCATTCAAATATTTCATGATTGATCGTCTCCTCAGGTTCCCCACATCGAGGACAGTAATTGTCACATCTTATATGTTTATGGTTTAAGATGCTTGTGACAGCTACATGTCATGTTATCAACTGCCACATAAGATGACAAATCTTTTGAGGGGCTCTGACCTTCCAAGCATGTGCTTGAAGCTTTGTGATACTAGGTTCACATACTTCAGGTTCCTCTTCCTTCCACAAAATGTTTCATGCTACCCAGTAGCCAAATTTAACTGTATAATGTCCAGTCCTCGTATAGCTCCAGCAGTACGTATCCCTTTGATGCATTGAACTAATGGCCATAATTTTAATAAATGGTATATCCGCTGCCGCAACATAATCGTGTAGTCACCTATCATCCCAGATCTTTGTTGTTTGATCAATCAAATCGCTCACTCGCATATTCGGATGTAGAACCGGTGCCAAAGGAATAGCTGGTCTCGCGGGTATAGTAGGAATCCAAGGGTCTTCCCAAACTTTAACCTCATATCCTGAGTGAACTTTTTGTCTGATTCCTAATAATAGCAACTCTCTTCCGGCCGAAATGCTTGTCCACACATATGATGGGCTACTAGCATTAATTTGACGCAAGGGCGAACTCAATCTGTAATATCGACCTCTCAGAACGCGAGCTACCAGAGAATCCGGGTTCTGCACCAATCTCCATAATTACTTTGCTAGTAACGCAAGGTTAAACTCGTGGATCATCCTAAAGCCAATTCTGCCTTCTTCTTTAGGTAAGCATACTTTATTTCATTTCGACGAATGAATACCCCTCTTTGGCGGATTTTAGCTCCACCAAAACTGTGCAATGGCACTAGCTAAATTCTCACAAATCTCGAATGGGAGAAGGAAACAAGACATTACATACGTCAGAAGAGCCAGCAGGATTGATTTTATCATAACTTCTTTCCCGCCTTTAGAAAGTCATATGCCAGTCCATCCATTAACTCTATTTCTCAGCTTATCCTTTAGAAAAGCAAAGAGCTTACATTTGGACCCACTGATATCCACTGGTATACCTAGATATGACCCTATTCCTCCTTCATTTTGGATCCCAAGAGTGTCTTTAATCTCTTGTCTCACATCTAGGCCGATTCTTTTACCAAAGAGTAAAGAAGACTTATCGAAATTAATACATTGTCCTGAAGCTTGTCCATAAACCTTGACCACTTTCATTACTTCTTCACATTCACGGGGCTCTGCCTTACAAAAAAACAAATTATCATCAGCAAAGAGAAGATGAGACACCGAAGGACACGCACGCGTGATGCGCATCCCCGTTATCTTTCCTTGATTCTCTGTGTGATTAAGAAGCTAACGAGCGCTTCCGTGCACAGAATAAAAATGAAAGTGGACAGAGGATCCCCCTGCCGTAGACCTCTCTCCGGAACAATATTCCCTCTTGGCTGTCCATTCATGAGGACCTTGTACTTTACTGAAGTTACGCATCTCATTATCATAGTTACCCAGACTTTAGAAAATCCCATCTTTCTCATGGTGGCCTCAATGAAGGACCATTCCATCCTATCATATGCCTTGCTCATATCTGTTTTGATAACCATCCTCTTGTTTCAGCCACTCGGTTTTGTTCTCAAAGCATGGAACAATTCCTGAGCTATCATAATGTTGTCAGATATTTGTCTCCCAGCAACAAAGGCTAACTGGGTTTCTGAGATCTTGTCTGGTAGGAACTTTTTCAATCTCTGGCATAAGACCTTAGAGATAATCTTGTAACTAATATTACATAAGCTAATAGGACGTAACTGGCTCATCTGATTTGGCTTCTCCACTTTTGGAATGAGACATATGTTGGTATCATTTAGACCAGCTGGCACCGTTCCCTCAAATAGGAATTGATTAACCATAAGAGTTAAATCATCTTTTACAATATCCCATAATTTATAAAAAAGCGCCGTCATTCCATCTGGTCCTGGAGCTTTCTCTGGGTGCATTGCGAAAAGAGCCAATTTAACTTCCCATTCAGTGACTGGGGCTGTAAGAGCCTCATTATCTGTTAGGGTAATTGTCGATGATACTTCAGAGAGTGCCTCCTCTATTGCCTCAGGATTTGATGATTGAAAGATGTGTCTAAAGTAATTTGTAGCAATGGCTACCAATCCGTCCTCATCCTCCACAACATTTCCATCTTCATCCAGTAGTTGGGTAATCCTATTCCTTGCTCTCCTTTGCTTCGTAAGTGCGTGAAAAAATTTAGTATTCCTATCCCCCTCTCTCAGCCAGAAAACCCGACACTTCTGCTCCAAAACATCTCCTCCGCCTTAAGAGCGTCAAATAGTTCCTTAATAGCTGCCGCAATCTCCTCAGTAGTGGCATCATCATTTGAGGATAATCGATCTACCTTTTCCTTAAGCTCTTCCACTGTTTTCTCTGAGTTCAGATTATGCTGCTTTTTCCATTCGCTTAATGCTCGCCGGCAACTTACAATATGCTCCATTATACTTGATCCTGGTGGGAGGTCCGGTGACTTCCATCCCTCAAGTACTTGCCTAAGCTCATCATTATCCAACCATCTCTTGTCAAATTTGAAATTCTTTGCTCTCCTAGGTTTCTTTTTCAGGATGTCAGCTAGTATCAGACGATGATCCGATCCCCATAATCTCATATATTTCACTTTTGAATGAGGAAACTTCTCATGCCAGTCCTCATTCCCGACAGCCATATCAAGACGGCATCTAACTATTGTTCTCCCTGCTCTATTTCCAACCCATGGTAGCATGTTCTCTGTGAAAGGAAATTCCATCATACCACAACCACTTAACATCTGTCTGAAGGGAAAAAATGAGCTATCAGTGCGTTGTCTGCCACCTTCCTTCTCTTTATGACAGGTTATTTCATTGAAGTCCCTTATCATAAACCAAGGTCTGCCCCTTGTTGTTGAGAAACGCGTAAGACGTTCCCAAACTAAATCTCTTCTTTCAGTAACAGGATCCCCATAAACAAATGTCATGTAGACTTTTATTCCATCAATGACTGCCTCAATGTCAATCATTGTGTTATTTGAAAATAAAACACTAACTTGAAATTCATCCATAAAAAATAAAGCTAAACCGCCGCTGAGTCCAAGTGGCTCAACGGTAAACAAACGATCAAATCCTAAGTCGGCCTGAATGTCTTGCAACAGCAGCCTCCTATTCTCCATCTCAGAAAGAAACACAAGTCCTGGGCGATGCTTCTGACACATCTCCGTAAGGCGTCGAACTGTGAGGTCGCTTCTAATCCCTCGACAGTTCCAACTGATTGTCCTCATGGATGCTTGGGGGATGGGTTTTTGGATCCCATCGAACTACCTCCATTTATTGATCTAGCAAAATGTTTCTGACTATCGTGGTGAGACTGCCGTTGCTTATTCTTCTCTCCATTTGACTTGTGCGATGATGATATAATTGATCGTATGCGTGGAGAACCACGACGGTGGAACTCTGCCTTATTGTTCTGGATCCCCAATGGAGGATTCCCACTCGCACTTGACCGTGCACTCCTTGACGCCTTCGCCTGTCCTTTACCCAATGTAGCCCTTGCGGCCACACTAGGCCTCGATTTGGCTGCCATCTCCTCCAGCTCCTCATCAAAGAGATCCTCCTCAGCATCAATACCGGTCTCAACCTCCATCCCACTAAGAGCTTCGTTAACATGCTCATCTCCACTTGCATTGGCTGAACCGTGTGGCGAATAAGTCAGCGACTTCGCCACGCTCTTGTTACGTAGAGTGACATTATCTCCCTTAATATAGGATTGCATTTCCGGCGAGACAATTACACTAGCCAGTCTATTCCCCATTAGCATATCTCCCTCACTCATAATTTCGAAAACTTGATGATGAGGCTCACCCAATGTTCGCTTGGTGCTTCCTTGCTCATGCTCATAAGAAACAATTGCACAAGTCTCCTCATTAGCTCCCTTCTCGCTTCCTAACACCAATTTATCGCCGTATGTCTCATTCTGTCTATTAGCTTGCCACTCCACCTTCCGGTTGCGAGCATACGGCTCATACCGAGGTTTTTTTTATGTCGATTGCTTCTCTCCTTGGAGTCCCACGCTTGTCCCTTACGATCAGAGCGTGAATGCTCAAACCTATTATCCCTCATATGCCGATAGTGATGTGAGTCTGCATCCTTATCTCTTTCTCTATACTCCTTCCCCCTTGGTTCATTATGTCTAGACTGCACTCCACCATGAATGTTATGCTTTGTCGTTTCCAGTCTTGAAGAACCAAGCAAAGGCTTGTGTCCATTACCATCCTTACCACGGTCAAGATGGGATGTACGGTGATCATAAGACAAGGATCCATGACCAGTATGATTACGAGGAAGCTGCACCCGATCAAAAACATCTCCTCTCCCACGTGGGAGGATAGGAGCAGGAGCCAAGGTTGGACAATACTCCTCGTGTGTCATCAAGCCGCAAGTAGTACAGTGCTTGAATAACAAGTCATATTTGATCTCTATGGTAACTTCATCCCCTTCTGGACTTTGGACCTTCCTTTTAAACTTTAAAGGCTTCCTAGAATCAATGTCAATCAAAACCCTTCCCTCCGACAGATCAATGGTATCCACACGGCCAAGACGATCCCCAATTTCTCTTAAATTCTTGTCTGTCCACAGATGCAATGGCATACCAACAAACTGGACCCAGAATGGTATGATCCATGGATAATCGTCGTGTGCAATTGGTTCCCATCTTACCAAAACAAACATACAGAAATTGTAGTGGAAGGGCCCTTGTCGAAGTACGGAATTGAGATCTTCCTCCGATGAGAAGTTAAGAAGAAATTTCCCATTTCCTATATCATTCGCTGTGATGTGATCTTCCATACTCCATTGTCCTGGCATTTTCTGAACAAGCTTTTCTACCGATTGTTTCTTAGGATTTAGAATTTTCCCAATCAAAGACAATTGGTATTCTTTTATAAGGAAAGAATCATCTTGGTCAGTAAGCCTTATTGGCTCGTCGTCATCCTCATACATAATCCCTTTGCCTTTTATATCAGCCATATGAGCCGATATAGCACGAGATGAGGGCCGCATATCACCCTGGCGTGGCCACGGAAACGGCCAATAAGAATCTCAGAAACACAATAAAACCGCGTGAAGAACCAACAGAAACTCAGAACTCTCAAAAGCGACAGCCCCAACTTCGTGTCGTTTAAACTCCCGTCGACAAAACCACCATCACAGGTCCTGAGATGCTGAGAGTTTAACGACGAAAGAAACAGATAATCAGCAACCACCAAAGAACAGAGAACCAGCGTATTAGATGGCGGACGAGGATCCGAAGAATCTACAGAGGTCGTTGGTACGGTGGCTTCATCAGTGCAGATGGCGGAGACCGGATAACGTGGAGGAAAAGAAATCGACAAGGATCGATCTCAACAGAGCAGTCAATAGGGTCGTAGTACCAAGGAGCACTGCGAAGGACTGATGATAGACTAATGATCGACTCAGGAGTCCTCTGAATACCGGAGAAGATCAGATCTCGCTTGTGACTTGAAGAAGACACAAAACGAAGAATTCTGTCGGCGGTCTGGTGCACTGGTGATCTACAAGGAGTGTCTGCTAGTCTCCCTTGTAGCGTAGAGGAAGATACAGCAGTCGTCGTGGCCGTAGATCGTCGTCAGAAACGAGAGGAAGAAATCGCCATCCTGATCGCCGTTGTCGCTGCTAGGGTTTTCTGTCAAAAGGACTTTTCTATCCCTCTAAAGAGTATTTCATTTTTTCAAAAGATTTAGTTTGATATGTTATTTAGTTTGATATATCTTATATAAGACCATCATACCTTGTTTTAAAACTATGATTTATATAAGATACTCTAGAATCCTTTTTAATTGAAATAGAAGGCATACAGAGGTGCCACGTTGGATGGAGTTATTTTTTAATTAATACAAACTTAAAGTTACAACTTTTTAAATGTTTCTCAATTAATATATAGGGGATTCCTTAATGTTCACATAATTAAATGACAGATTTCCATAAACTGGTCTTCTGTTTTACTTACTCCCTACCATATCATATTACCTGAGGGTTTAAAAGTGTATATATCGAATTAAAGTTGATATCTTTTAGAATCTTTTTAGAATACATTTGTCTGAACTTTTTGTTAATTTAAATTTTAATTATCATAAATACAATTAAAATTAGAATTTACTTTAGTCTTGATATATAAATGAAAATGAAAATTATATAAAATATTTTAATTATATCTAAAGAATTTAAACACATCAAAACCAACAACTACTACAAGCTTATAAAAGAAAACCAAAGTCAAAAACCCTAACACTCCTCCTCAAGCTCAACCATGTAGAACAAGTCATGCTTGTATTCTCCTCATTAAAACCTCATTAACAAAACCCAAATGGACAAAACTTAATGAGGAAAAAGAGTAAGAATTTCATAACCAGAAGAGTGTATGGGTAGACAAACCTAAGTGGCAAAACCAAACTCCTCAGCACTCTTAATCAAACCCAAAAGAAAACACCCAGCAGCCAAACTTGAACAACATCAGAACTATTTCAAAATCAACTCAATCTTGTCTCAAACCAAGTAGACATCCCTCTTACAAACGCCTTATCCTCCTTCATTCTTATTGCTGTAAACTTGATTCGAATGGTCTTGTCAATCCTCTTTGTTAAATCAATAGCCGGAACTGGTGGTTCACCATGTCTTCTCAGGTTTCTCTCTTTCCAAATGGTATGTACTGCACTATGAAAAGCATAACTCAGAATAAAAACTCGGATTTTGTTCCAACCAACACCAGTCGAAGCAATCCTCACAATATCATCCCATGCAACTGTGAACTGGTTTTCCATCACTTCCTTCACCAATGACTCCCATACTTGCGTTGAGTAAGAGCATTCAAAGAAGAGGTGTCTCTTTGTTTCAAAAGACGTCTGACAAAGGACACAAGCTTCATCAATATTGACATTCCAACTCCTCATTCTGTCACAAGTCGACAGTCTCTCCAGCATAGCAATCCAAAGGATAAAAGAAAATTTTGGCGTTGCATATTTAAACCATACAGCTCCATGCCAATAACAAAGTTGATGCTTTTCTCTAATTGTATGCCATGTCCCTCTACTAGTAAACACTTTCTTGTGTTTACCCTTCTCATTCTTCCACATAGAGACATCCTCTTCCTGAACCCAATTCAATTTGTACCTCTCGATCTCAATCTCACCTCTATTTAATATAGGAAACCGATTATTTTTTGTCCTATGCCTTCTACTTGCTTCAACAGTAGCATTTGCCGGTATTCCCATATCAATATGAGCACCACTATCCAGAAGATCCTTCAAAGGGCCCAAAGAGGACCACGCTTCATGCCAAAAATAAGTCTTCATCCCATCTCTAACCTCCACTTTATAGAAACTTTTAGTCATCTCCCTACACTCCACATCCATGATCCCTTTATTGAATTTTCCTTCACCCTCCAAATAGATCATTTTCGAATAAGATACTTCTGAATCCAACAGACCCATAAGGACTGAGAAGAAATAATTCTCTATATCAATTTAAGGCAGCTCACTGTATTCACCTCCTTTAACGGTCTTATACCCAAACCCCCTTCATGTTTCATTTTACAGATATCCTTCCAAGAAATCTTATTTTTCTTGCCATTAAGATCTAGACCAGACCAAAGAATTGCAGCACATAATCTTTCAATCTCCTTGATGCAACTACTTGGGAGTCTAAAAGCAGCCATCCAAAAGTTTGTAAGACTCAAAATTACTGATTCTACTAACTGCAGTCTTCTAGGATAAGAGAGAAATCTCCCTCTCCAAGAGCTTATCCTCTTTCTATTTTTTTCAATTAGAAGAAGATAATCCGTGTCATTTTCTTGGCCAGCAAAGGCAGACCTAAATAACGGACAGGTAGAGTACCTGTAGCAAAATGAAACTGTCTCAAGGTTTCTTCTTTTCTCCCTTCAGTAACCCCAGCCATAAAAAGAGCCGAGTTCTCCATGCTAATTTTTAATCCACTCATCTTGGCAAACTGATCAAAAACCTCCAGAATCCCCTCAATGGAATTTTTAGTTCCATCAGCAAAGATCATTAGATCATCAGCAAAACATAGGTGGATGATATCCAAAACCCCTATTACACTGTTTCACTCTTTGTATTTTTTATTTTAATTTTTCTGGTTAACAAACTTTACATGAAATCAGAGTTGTTTCTCTTCTTCTATGTTCTTTCATTACCATCTTCTTCTATGTTCTAGTTTTTGATTTTGTGAAATATTCGATCTAAGTGATCGATTTGTATTTTTTATTTTAATTTTTCTGGTTAACAAACTTTACATGAAATCAGAGTTGTTTCTCTTCTTCTATGTTCTTTCATTACCATCTTCTTCTATGTTCTAGTTTTTGATTTTGTGAAATATTCGATCTAAGTGATCGATTTTCTCTTCGTTAGACGAATCTTTTTCTTTCATCTTTTCCGATCTTTTTTTCTATAGCAGAATAAAATCCGATTCAATTCAGTTTATTGTGCTAAAAGCTTTCTCCTTCTCTGATTCTTCAAAACTATGATGTGTGGTTCAGAATTTGTTCTCTCTCTCTCTCTCTTGGCTAGCAAGCTTAATTCTTGATTCTGGTTGGGTATCAATCTTCACTACAGAACAAAAGTGAAGTCTCCTCAAAGATCAAGACCTATGTTTTGCAATAGGCTAAGATGATCAACACAGATCCATATGAAACGAAGCTTTCTTTGTGGAAAGTGTTCCGGCAAGGTTCTGATTTTGATTTATCTGAAGCTATTCTTGGATTGAACACTAATAATTGGGGAAGACAGTTTTGTGATTCAACTGAGGTTAAAGGAAGGAGGCAGCAAGCAAGCAGACTCAAGAGAAACGGGATTGAAGATTGATGTTCACCTGCGATGAGATTCCGGCACCGCTATCGCTCATCTCGTTTCTGGAGAAGCAAGGCCACGGAAGCAAACATGTGTCTTCCATGCATCATCCTTATCTCTGAATTTCATGTTAACCTTTTAAAGTAGTACGATTTATTGTATGACTGTTTGTCAACCCCATCATTTTTACGGTCCAAAATGGTATCATAATCGTTTATGGTCCAAAATAAGCCCATGACATGA